GGCGGGGCCGGAGCCCGGGGCGGGGCCAGGGGGTTGCCCCTTCGACCCGCCGGGAGGAGGCGCCCAAGGGACTGGCCCTCAGCGGGGTGGGGAAGCCCCGAGGCTCTTCCGCCAGCCAGCAGTTCCCGCGTTCTACAGGTGAGAAGCCCGAAGGGCCGGAAGGCAGGAGAAAGAGGGCGCTCCACCCCCGGCCCCGCAAATTCCCAGATGAAGCATGGACATATACTTTTTTTTTTACAAAATGTATTCATCTTTCTTGGAACTGAAAAATAAATCTATGTACAAAACAGGAAGAGATCGAGCTCCCTTCACCCACTTGCAAACCCCTGCAGATTTCCTCTGGGGTCCCCCGAGACAAGCTAGACCTAGGGGAGGTTCCCAGCGGGTCGGAAGAGAGGTCTGCTCTGATCTGGGGCCAGTTTGATCAGGAAGGGGGCGGAGCTCAGGACTCACACAGGCCTGGGATGGAGTTTCATGTCCCTGACTCGGGATAGGGAGGGGAAGAAGCTAGGATTTCCAAATTCTGGAAGCGCCTCTTAAGTACCTAAGGGTAGGGAGCGTGGATTCCCAAGGAATGGAATTCTGAAGTGCGGAATTGTTCTCCTAGGGGCCAAGTGGGGTCCTAGGTTCCCGCGCTAGAGGCGGCACCTGAGCGGCTAGGGTGTAGGGTGGAACCTCAGCCCCACGAGCTGGGACCGACGCAAAATACTCGTTAGGCCGACGGTTAGAGCCTAGGTTCTGAGGTGGCGCCTGAGTTTTCATGGTTGGTTCTTTGATTGGTGATGGGGCCCAGGGTAAGGTTTCAATCGGCCCACTGTGATTCTTGGGGGATGGGACCTATATTCCAAAGACAGGGAACTGGAGTAGTCTGACTCCTGTGACCAGAGCTTCGGTTTCGGTTAGGGGTGGGGCTGGAGGCCCGGCCTAGGCCCCCTTGGCCAGGGGCGGAGCCTGGGCTCAAGGAGGTGGGGCGGGGTTTGGGTGGAGCCTTGATCGGGATGGAAGGCCGGCTCCCGCGGGCTGACAAGAGTCCCAGGGTAGCTCAGA